GGCTCCCTGCTCGGCAAGGGGTCTGCTTCTCCCTGTGACCCTCCTCCCTCTCATGCTCTCTCTCATTCTCTCTGTCTCAAATAAATAAATAAAATCTTTAAAAAAAAAAAAATAACAGCTTTCATGTGAGTGTATAAATTCTAGGATGGCAGTTAAAGAAAATGTAATGATTTTATAGTTTAACAACAGCTGGGAAGATCTTTTGAAGTAAGAACTTACCATTTAACTGGCCCCACAATCATTTTTCTTCTGCAACTAACCTAACTTTAAATAAATCATAAAAATTTGTTGAGAAAATTAATTTTCTAAGCTTTTGGTAGTTTAATCAATTCAAGCCTTTTCATCTCTTCTAGATTAGGACCCTATACATATACAACTCTAAATTTGACTTCCAACTGAAACTTTCTAAAGTAGCATATGTTAAAAAAAATTAAAAGCATACGTTTTTTCCTTTTTTGGGGAAATGTGAAATGAAGTTTAGAATCCATTTCTCCATTCCCTGTGGTACAGGTTATAATAATCAGTCATCTAAAATTCTGCAGTAGCCTTGATCTGGTGTCCCTGCTTCTGGATTTGCTTCTTTTCAATTCATTCGCTACACAGAAATCAAAATTATTTTTAAATATTTGTAATTGATCATGTCATTTCATGATTAAAATGCTTTAATGATTTTACTTTGCCTTGGGATAAAGTCTAACTCTGCAACCTTTAAGGCCCTTTTTGATCTGGCCTCAATTTACCTGACCCTTTATCATCTATTTTCCAACTAGTCTAAGAGACTTTCCCTCCCTTGAGTCCTCCCCTCCTAATTCTCTCTGGCTTTGAATATCTTTTTTCTGTGTTGAAAATAGTCCTCCCTACTTTTTCCCTCCGGTTACTGCTTCAAGTCTCCCCTTAAGTCACTTGCTCCAGGAAGTCTCCCCTGACATCCCATGTTTATGTTCCTAACATAATACGTGTCCATACTTTTGCTCTTAAAACACCAGGAATCGTAAACATTAAAGTATTATCCTAGTATAATTTCTAGGTTACTTGTCTGTCCTCTCTCATTTTATTGTAAACTCTTTGAGGGAAAGACAATGTTTGCCTTCCTGGTCATTTTGCTAACTATTAAATCCTTATTAACCCTACAGACACTTATACATGGTATTTGATAAATGTTTTTTTTTTTAAGTGAACATTTGAAAGCTTGGATTACACTACTAAACTACATTAACATGATTTAAGAAATCCTGCATTTCAGCATTGCAGTATAAAGACTTTAATTCTAAGTTAATATTGCAGTAGTTGTCTTTATTTTTGACAGCATATATTTTTTTTTACTATGTTATGTTAATCACCATACATTACATTAGTTTTTGATATAGTGTTCCATGATTCATTGTTTGCATATAACACCCAGTGCTCCATGCAGTACGTGCCCTCTTTAATACCCATCACCAGGCTAACCCATTCCCCCACCTGCCTCCCCTCTAGAACCCTCAGTTTGTTCCTCGGAGTCCATAGTCTCTCATGGTTCGTTTTCCCCTCCGATTTCCCCCCC